GCCACATGGTAGAGAGGAAAGAAGGTGGTACTTGTCTAAAGTTTATATAAAACAACCCATAGTGAAGACTGTCAGTTCAAACAAGCCCTGCTTCACCCACTGATCCACAACTGCCTCAGTTTGTTGAGGTTGTTTACAGTTGCATTCTCAAAATAAGAATCAAATGTTCCATTAAAATGGGTTCAAATGTTAAATCCAAATATAAGAATGGGATTTAGAGACAATGTTACCTGTTGTTTTTTTTTTTAAATCAATATGTAAATGTTGTGGCTGCGGCTGTGGCTGGAACTTAACCTTAACTGCTCTGCCTCTCAAACTTTACATTTACACATAAATTGGAACTCGGAGGCTTAAATTGCCTGCGACTCACTACCTGAAAATTCTCTTTCTTCTTTCAACATGCCGTCTTCTCTCAGCGGTGGCTGGTCGGTCACTGGAAGCGAAGAAAGAAATACGGAAGAGTACTTTCAGAGAGAATAAATGATTGGATCAATTTTTTTTGACACAAAAGTGCATCACTTTTTACCAAGTATTTTTCCACAATATTTACACCAATGATTCTTTATCTCTTTTGTCTTGTGTACCACCTGGTTGTTTTTGTCATACTGCGAGTACTGCTGCGTGTTGATGATACTTCAAAATGTGCTCATATAAAACATAAAAAAAAACTAAATAAAACGAATTTTAATTTCTAATAGAATGCGTATTGGACATTAAATATAAAGCAAAATATATATAATACAAGCTGCTGTTACATTTAACAAAAAAGAAAATTAAAATCATTATAATTGATAATAATTCATTTCTTAAATAATCTCTTCTTACTCAAAATGTTTATGTTAAAAATACATTTAGTAAAATTAATATATATATATATATAGCATGTTGTACAAGACAAACTTCAAAATATTTTTTTCCTCTAAGGACAAAACTTTAAACAAGCAAATAAAACTAAAAATATAAAATTAAAAAAAAAGTGTACCATTAGAAGTCTGCGCCCCCCTGATTGGAAAAGACCCTCCTCTATTTAAAAAGCCTTTAATGTGTGAATACATACTTTATTATAAAGTGTCTCATCATTGTTGCGTTAATGGCTCTATTTAAATGACGTTCTCCCAAATTTCCCATCATTAAAATGAATCATCCCACGACAGCTTGTCTTACACACACACACAAACACACAGTCATGTACCTCACATTTACACACACACTCAGCCTCCACGGGGGCAGCGTCGACGACGCGCTCTCATCAGTTTGCTTCTTATTTAACTGTCTGTTAAACAGACTTAATAACTGGGGCCAACTCCTTGTCAGCACCGCCGGGTCTCGGCTCTGACCTTAACTATTGGATAACGCAAAAGGCACAAACTTAATTCTAATGATTTCCCTGCCAAGAAATAAAAAGGAGAGGCTTCTGAGAATGCCCCAGACTGGTCTTTAACAGAAATTATGGTAATTGTGCTGAAAGGAGGGTGGAGGGGGAGGGCTGGTGGTGGTGGTGGTGGTGAGTTTGGTTGGCTCACTTAAAAAGCCAGGAACAACACAGCTGGTTCTGTGGTCTGTTGGCCAAATGTAATACATCACTGAGAATCTGAACTGTTCAGATCTTCACTGCAGAGAGGAGAACAAAACCTCGACAACAAAAAGGATTTTTGTTTTTTGCGCCAAGTTTTGATGTCTTCCTGATACATTTAGTGTACTGAAAGTATTATAAAGTCAAAAGTACTGCAGTACTGTGTCATAGGATGACTGTCCTTAAATTCTCGTTTGAATTCCGGGTGACTGTAGCTCAGTTGACTTACACTTACAGGGTTGTGGGTTCTATTCCAGGCAAGCGATACCTAGAAAAGTGCTACAGTACAGCTCTAAATCTTTGTTGCTCCAGAAATACCATCGACCATCCTCATCTTTAATTCATAATAAAAAGCAACACGTGAGATCATGTGCCACCTGGTGGAGGTGGTGGTTTGAACTCTTGCTTTACAGCAAGAGGGTCACATATTTTTGTTTGATTCCTGGTCTTTGTGTAAAGGTATGAGTGTGAGTGTGGTTTTGAATGTTTAGTTCTTGCTGTAATGTATGTGGCCCTGGAAACTGTGCAGCATGAACCCCACTGTCACCAGATGGCTGCTGGGATTGGATCTCCCACCAGCCGCAGCAGAAACCCTGGAAAGGATTATGTTGGTGGAGATGATTAAAGTCAGAAAATAATTTATGTAAAATACTTTAGGCCAAAATACTTCAAAGTTATCCAGGCTAAGGCGACTCTCAGCAGGGCGTGTATTGTACGCTGAATGATCCATGTATTATGTATAGACCTAACTTATTATTTTGTAATCAACCAATAAATAAAAAAATACAGCCTCACATATGAATCATATTGTTTTACACATTTACAGGTATACCTTTTTTCTACTGATACCAATGGCAATATTAACATTTGCAGTCATTTATTAGAGTCAGTTACAAAATCAAAATATATTATAATTTATTAGAGAGTCAGTTACAAAATCAAAATATATTTGCAATTTTTTATTTTTTTAAACAAACTTGCTATTTCTACAACAAAGTATTAAGTATTATTATTAGTGATATTACTATTAATTATTAATACTAGGTGTTAGTATTAAGGTATTTTATACAAAATGTAATAATTCAAAAGCATCAGTTGACTTAAAGTGTGCCTCCATAGTGATCAGTTTCCAATCACCGACATGGATTCTTGATGTGATACATTTAAAATATACAGGTTTTTTTAAGCAGGTTAAAACACATGATGATGATGATGATGAGCCTGACTGAAAGATAAAATCTATTTTGTTAATGAAGCGTATTTGATGCATGCTGCACACTCTCATGCAAAAAAAATAAAAAAAAAGATGTACCAAGCTGACTCTGAATCACTGCTAATAAGAGAGGTATGATAGACTGAATAAAACCCAGAGGGAAATCAAATACTCAGCAGTCAACAGGCGCTGTCTTCCTACTGGCAACGGGGGAAAAAGCCCATGTTTCTACCCTGGAAAATTGTGGCTGAAACTAGTAGTCATTTCTCTGTGGTGTGGTGACCTCTGTGGCAGCAGTTAATGAGATAGTCTGTGAGCTGAAGGGAGCAATATGCTGGATCTACAGAGAGGGACATTATGGCACATCAAGCAGCAAAGCAGCAGCAATGAGTCCCCTCCATCATGCAGTGATTCAACCTCGGCAGCCAAGTGAAGGATTGCTGCAAGATATCTCATTTTTCAAGGTCAGCTAGTCATGATAAATGCTAATAAGCAAATAAGTCCACGTTTGCACTGTCTAAGTTGCACTCCAGTGCGCATGTGAGCAAGGAATCGTAAACTATAGACCGAAAGCGCAGACAAGGAAGCAGTCGAGGGAGGCTCAATTCATATTAGAACGCGCCCCGTTAATGGAACTGCTCCTTTAGGCTGCTCGCTCCTCCTCTGTCTGTTCACTGACTGCACACATGCCGATGTTTTTGCTGCAGCATGATGTTCATTGTCCGGTCGTTTCTACCTGTAATCAGGCTCTATCTGCTTGGTCTGAAGGTGTTATTGATTCAGCTGTTCAGCAGAACATTCAGGTTGCCAGGTCGGTGTATTTCACGTTAAATCACGTAAATCGGCTATGAGCGTATTTCCCTTGTGCTTCAGTCAGTGTCACTCGTCTCGTTAAGTAGCTCATACTGAATAACTGTATTTGCTGTGTACTTGCTGAAGTTGCTTATTGGCTGTCAAAGTCGTGAGCGTAGGTACGCATTGTAGCGCGAAGCTAACCAGGCTAGCTAGTTTGAATAGCAAGTGATAAAACTTGAGAAACGACAAAGTTCTGTTTGTAGTCATATATGCCGAATTTAGCAGGAGATCGTGACTCCTTAGTATCAAGGTTCACCCCTGACCGGTAGTGTGGTTCACGCTGATCTGCGCGAGTTTAATTTAAATGTATATGTAAATATTGTAATGCTCCGGCTCTTAGAGACTTTGACAGAACATCACAGTTAGCAGTAACTCATTCTGAACTTCTTTACTTCTCTCCCAGCTTCTCCCAATCCCCATCCTGTACGATTTTAGTTTAGTGACGTTGCTTGATTGACAGACAACACAAGTGACATCACCGTCAACTTTATACAGCCGTTAGTAACAGTTTGTGTCGTTATTGATTAATATGACGATCGTTTGGCATCTAATATGAATGAAAAAATAATGACAAAAGGGTTTAAATAAATAAATAGAAACTAATTTTGGCAGCCTTACAAAATAAATAAAACAGAGGAATGATTATAATTCAAGATAATGATTTTTTAAACAAGTATTAAACTGAAGTAATGGAAATTATTAATGAATTTAATTATTTATTATTATTAATTAAGGTGTTTAAAAGCAGGGCTATAGTTTATGACTATTTAATCATTGGTTAATTGAAATAAAAACATACAAGTTATTTAGTCATTAAAGCAAAATGTGTAGAGTTATGTCTTTAATTTCAATTCAATCAAAGCTAAGTGGTGAATATAAACATTAATGATCCTTTTGATCAATAATATAAAATATCTCATAGTGACAGCCCTACATATACATTTTTCAAAAGGAGAAGATGGAACAAAATAAATTATAAACAACATTTTTGTCAGTATTTTTTTCCACTGCAGTAAAACCTGTTTGCCCTGCACTTGTAGCTGCCACCCTTCTTACAATCAATCAAACTTTTCGTGTCCGTCAGCCGTGAAGGTTTTATGGCCAGAAGGAAATTGGACAGAGAAGGCAGATGGAAGCTAACCTAGTTACACTACCATAAAATCTATGCCTGCTTATTAGGATGCCATCCAACACCACGAGGATGTAAAACCTGGACTAATCTTAAGATTTGCAGATTATCTCACTGAAGCCCAAGTAAAACATCCTCGCATGTCGTGAAATAGTGGCCGCTCTCAGAGAAGGTACCTTATCGAATGACATTCTGTCTGATATCTCTGTTTCCTTTTCTGCCTCTGCCAGTGATGCCCAGACAAGATGGCAAGGTTGCCATAGTGACAGGAGGAGGCAGGGGAATTGGCTATGAAGTAGTCCGCCACATGGCCAGCCTGGGCGTCCATGTCATCATAGGTACAGTACCGCACCACATGGGTGACACACAGGCGTGTGAAGAGACTAACATGAGGGCATGGCAGTGATGGCAGTTTCCACAGGAAATATGACCCCATCTGTTATTAGTCCATAACCAAGAGCCTTAATAACCATCACTGAATTCAACAGAAAAGAAGGTTTCTAAATGTCAGATGTGCAGCGACAACAGTAACGACATCTTAATTGCTCCTTGAAGAAAACAAACAGAGTAATAAATGAAAGCCTGGTAAAACAATGTCTGAGATTTAATTTTGGAACAGAAAACAGCAGGCTCATCAATCAGTGTTCAAAATTGTCTTCTTCTGTTGTTGTTGTTTTTTTTAAGGGGGCCTTTTAAAAAAGCAGTTAAACTGTCTGATTAATCCCCACTGTCAGACCTGTCCCATCTCACCTGGGACATAATGGTCAAGGGAACTTGTCTCCTTATTGTTGCCACTTTATCACCTGGGACATAATGGTCATAATGGGGAACAATAAGGAAGAACTTGTCTCCTTATTGTTGCCACTTTTCAATAGTGTCTATGAAAGATGTGCTTTACTTCGTATTGTTAATATAAATTCAGTATAGTATTAACTGTATCTACATTCCTACAGTTTCTTCTTTGGGAGGATCATTTCAATTCTAAATTCCATTGTTTTGTGAATTTAGTCTATACAAAAAAACAAAAAAAACCCCAACCATTTTAAATTATTAAACAAACAAATTCCTTTTTCTTCCTCAGTTATTTTCTACTCTTCCTCCTCATATTTCCTTTCCATACTTTCAACAGTTAGTGTTGGGACTGGCCCCAGAGCTACAATTCCATTTAGCATCATTGTTGCAAATGTGTACTTTAAGCAGTCATAGTTATGGACAAGTATCATGAGGTACACAGCAGTATTTGCACCATATAATTTACTTTTTTTAAATGGAACTAAAATTTAAAAAAATAAAACTGCATACATTTCTAAAAAAATCTTTTACTAAAAGTAAATGTGTTCGTTTTCATATTTTCTCATCACGTACCTAATAATAGGCAGAAGTACTTCAAAAAGAGCAATTGGTATTTTCTATGTTGCTACGAAAATAAATCCAGGTCACCTTGAAGAAAGCAGGTTAGGAGCACCGTTTCACAGCAACACACCCAGACAGAGCCATCGCTGTACACCTTCTGAGCATAAGCAGATGGAAAACCTGTGGCACAACAACCTGAGAGATTAGCCAAAGTGCCCCAGTCACTGCTAAATGGGCCTAATTGAGTTTTCAGCTGACAGGGGGAGAAGTGAAAAGATTTGTGTCAAGCTGTTAAGAAAAGGAGATGCTACCAGCATGTTTAATTAAATCAATGTCTGTCAGTTTCACAACAAGACAGGTTCTTCCAGCTGGTAGGTTTCTGGGCATTTAATAACACAATAATAATTACCTGAACATATGATGAAACGAATTTGTAAATCAAATTCCTACTGCTTCCCTAACATACCAGGGATGAGGTCGATAGAGATGTATTTTTGGCTTGGCAGAAGAAAAATAGAGAGTAAAAGGCTGCGGACGTCTTGACTAAACAAATGTGTTTTGTTCGGAGGACAAAAATATTGAAATATTGGTCTGTGAAAGCCTCCCGCTCTAATTAGATGCAGAAGGTCAGCGACACATTCGGTCTCCAGACAACAGGCTGATCTGTTTCAAGGTTAAGAATAACAAAGTGTTTTCATCCTTACAAAATTTTGCCCCCGAGAGATGACGAGAAGATCATTTTAGCTCTGCCGGGATATAAAGGCTATTATCAAACTGGGTGTTAAACCTAGGATTACGACAGGCTTTTTGCGTAAAACAAGATCTGGTTTTATTGGAGGTAATATTTCATGTTTATATTCAATATAGAGTCTTGAAATGTAAAATGAGTTGTGCTTCTTTGGTCCAAAGGAAAACAAACACTTCATTCATTAGGTTTGCTACAGAAAAAGGCCAACGTGTGATCAATGAGTCCAGTTATTTCATCATATGTTTGAGTTCAGGAATAATTACATTTAGAGAACGTTTTTCACAAAATAATGACTGCAGAGATTCACTTAGATTTTAAACACCAAACGAGTTTCTGTCTTGAACAGTGCAGACGTTACATTAAGAATTTTTATCTCCCCTTGGATTTATGCTTTTTAGTCATACTTGTAAATTGAAACAATTTACCCAGTGTGAGATCAATAAAGTTCAATCTTGGTTCAATCTACTCTAAAAGGTTGTAAATTAATTTACATATTGTACTTGTTTCAGCCGTGTCTTATTCAGACTATTTTTGTTTATTGCTCACCTTTGTTGGTCTCACCATAATTTTTAAGTTTTAAAATAGTTTTCCACACTTTTTCTGCAGCGCCCCCTCTTGTAGATATGACAGTTGTCAAGCCCCGCCCACCTCAACACAGTTACAGCTTCAAAACTCAATTGAACTTTATTAAAAACACTCTTCCACACTCTGGCATATTTGAAATTTAAATTCTGTTACCTGGCTGCAGCCCCGGCAATGGCTCTGTACCTCTAGGGGGAGCCCACCCCCACTTTACAAACTACTAGGTTAAAGACTGTTTTGAGTGGCCAAAAAAAGATGTTCCAAAATCTCCTCCAGTCATTTTTGTCACTTTTTGTCCCTCTCAGGTCCATGATTGGAAAAAATCTGACAAAACCCCCCACAAACCAGCCTTTCTCTGCAGATCTCACTGCGGCGTTCCGTGCGTGGAACACCAATACGTGTCCTAGCAGCGTGAGTCCAGGGTCAAAGTGAATTTCCCATTCAGTCCGTTAGCTCCACAACTTTAAAGAAACTCTGCCTTTACGCCTTTTTCATTCCCGGCGTAGAAGTCGGTGCCTTTAGAGTACAGTGTTTGTGCAGAAAATAAATGAGACTCAAGTGCTGCATACTGTAGCATGACACACACACACACACACACACACACACACAAAATCAATAGGTGACGACATGAAGGTGCTTGAACCAGGAGATCGTGTGTGTGTGTGTGTGTGTGTGTGTGTGTGTGTACTGAAGATGATCCTACAGGATTCAGAGTGGAGCTCCAGTTCAAATGACTTGCCTCTTGAGATAACTCAAGAAGTGAGAATATTAAATGGATCCCACTCTGTGTCTCATTATGGAGTGGAAACACGCTGTAGGCACGTGTGAGGCTGCTGTGTCAAACACCTGCTCTCACGTTGATGACTGTTCTTTTTTGTTGCGGGTTTTGATGTAATGGGCGAAATTTCATTTCATCGACTTTTCATTTCATGCTGGCAATAAAAAGTATAAATATAAACAGTATAAAAAAACATGAAAAACAGTGTAAATAATTATAATCAAAGTAGCTCTGGTGTGCACTGTTAATTCTCCATCCTGTAAATATAAAATAAATCCAGATTGAGGTAATTGTAAAATGATTTAATTTCTAAATACAATGACCTAATGAAGGGCCCCAGATAAGAGTCAAGGACAGTGACAACCCCCTGCACAATGCTGCTTCTGAACATATATAAAATATATAAGGAATCTCCTCTTGACTACGACTCCTGGTGCTTTATCATGTATTTTCCTCTAATTGCGATCATGTTTCCAAATGTTTTATCTACACTCATGCAGAGGTCAAACCTCCAATTCTCTGACTTATTTCCAGTCTGATGGAAACACATTTTCCCGCAATGGCCACTGCACTTCAAGCAATTTCGACTTTTGGAAAATGTACCGTTTGCATTGCTTCTCCTTTTTTTTGGGGATGCAGAAAAACTTCATTATAATTAGGATGAATCTTCAACTGCCAGCCCAAGAAATATTTACTGGGAAAATGATTTCCTCGGGACGTTTTTTTAATCAGCAGCTTAATAACAGCGAGCTTGGACCAAGAGCAGTTTTGCAGAAATAAGCATAATTAGCGTAGCCTTATTCTCACTCATTAAATCCATCGAAAAAACAACCATTGGTGCAAAAACAATCTTCTTTTCTGAATGTACATTTTAGCATTTAGCAAACCTTACACAGGATCCTGAAAAGCCACATCTGTTTTAGCCCAGCTCCACCTGCACTGCCTCAGCCTAAATGATGCCGTGTCCTTGAAAAGGCCAGCGTGATAATCCATGATCAGTGTGTCTGCGTGTGTGTGCGTGCGCATAAACAGAGTAGGAGTGCATGCGTGAAAACTGTGTCTGCGTGTTTCCCTGTGAGTGTATATATAGTTAGTTAAGCAATGAGAGTTCATTTGCATATATGGCTCGTTAGTAAACGGCACAATGAGTGCTGCTTTCAACAGGACCACAAAAAACTACAATACTAATACTACATGAGTACTACATGAGAGCAAATGTGACGAATACTCTGCATATATGTCAGCACATCCTCAAAAGAAAAGCCAAGCCGTATAATTCCTAATAAAGGAGCACTTGCTTTTTTAATGTGGGTCTATTACTTCTGACGTGTTCTACAAGCTTTAGTCACAGTGACTTAATTCTAATTCTTCACAAATTAAAATGTATATATATACAGTATGTATGTATACCTATATATATGTGTATACATGTATATATACAGTATATACATACATGTGTGTATATATATATATATATATATACATACATGTGTATATATATGTATATATATATGTGTATATATAAATATACATGGACAGGTTGTTGGACCATTTCATTATTAACCTGTGCGTGCCTGTGTGTGTGTGCGTGTTTCTCCATCAGGAGGGAAGGATGAGCAGGAGGGCCAGACGGCCGTCAGAAAGATTTGTCAAGAATACAAAGAGGCCAAAGGTAACATCACAGAGCTCTCAGCAAACACATCCACTACACAGCAGCCCACTGATACACAGCAACCTGTGTGCGTCTGTTTATAATGCCACTGTTTGAAGAGAAAGGGCAGAGCTGCAGCACCGTGTCCCCAAGGCTTGTTTTTACAGTCTTTGCCAAGAGTACGCACGCACTTTAATACACACTGGAAGGTACACACACACAAACACACACACACACACACAGAATCAAAGATAGTCTCCTTTAAGGATACGGAAATTTGTTGACAGACGTGGAAGGAGGCAAAGAGAGGAGGGGAATTTTCAAAAAGAACGAGGAGTTGAAGCAAAAATTGAGTTGCAAGTAGAGTTAGAGAGAAAGAGGAAATATTTCCCTCTCTACTTGCAACTCAATTTTATATATGTATGTATATATTTATATGTATATATATATATATATATATATATATGTATATAGCAGCTAAAAAATTATTATTACTCACTGTCTTACATTTTGTTGACCTAACCAGTCAGATCATATTGACAGCAGTAGATTACAGTACTTCAGTAGTTACAGCAGATGCCGACCTAGTAACGTCAACGGATACATCCCCAGTTTCTGTGAACAAAGTTTCTCAGACCGTGGCACCATCTTAAATATTCTAGGCCGATCTGCAGGTGGAAGAGTTAAAGATGCTGAGATGTTGAGTGCGAGGGACCGTAATGGACATGGATTAGAAATAAGTAGATCAGAGGGACCATTAGGGGCTGAGCGGTCTGTAGATAAAGTTCCAGAGACTTAGTGGACGGCTGGAAAATGTGCTGAACACAGTCTGTGAATATCTCACACAAAGGATGTTAGAGATGAAACTGTCAGACGCACGGAAAAAAAAGAAGACCCCAGAGAAAATTCATGAATAGAGTGAAGGAGGAGAGTCGGTGTAAGAGTGGAAGAAGAGGCAGAGAACAGGGTGAAATGGAGGTGATGATCCCCCTCCTGGAGGAACAGCAGCAGCGCCAGAAGAATGAATCGACACATTATCACTTGAAGTCCGTCTGTTGATACACTGTAAGGTTATTTACGACATCAACCGCAGCACTGACAACTGCCAAACAAGCTGCACTTTGTCCTGCCCGGTCTCCGCAGCGGCAGGGAGCTAGCTGGCCGGGTCGCTGCCTGTGTCTAAGTGGCTGTCAGGTACAGAGACAGCAGCCACGTCGCTGGTGTCATTGAAGTCGATTTCCCCGGACGAGGCCGTGCTGGAATTGATTACTCCTTTTGCAATTGGCAGGCACTGAGGCATGGGGGACGACAGAGGTGTCCGCAGCCAGATGCTTGTGCACTGAATGAGAATGTGTCGATGTGTGTGTGTGTGTGTGTGAGCGTAATTGTGACGTAGATTCTCATTAGATTAGTATGTGAGGCAGGAACCCTAAAAAATCTCTGTCCGAACATCCGCTGTCGTCATTTTTATGATTTCAAAAGTCAGTTGCACAAAAAAAAAATCCTTGTCTTCCATAAAATGTTTTTATCTTTTAAATGTATTTATCTTTAAAATTCTTCCAAAAGTTTTAACAAATTTTGACGCAACGTATATCCAATATTATTATTATTATTATCCAATAATTCCGCCATCCATTCATTCATTGCTCTATTGAACAGCAAATTCTTCCAGATTTTTAACAAATTTTAACGCAACGTATATCCAATAATTCCGCCGTCCATTCATTCATTGCTCTATTGAACAGTCAATTCAAATATTAACTTAATATCGTGTCAGTTCAATAAATATATCCCATTTCTGTCATATCTAGGGATGTATATTTGTCCCAATTATCATGATTAATCGCGATTACACAGAATAAAAATCGTCATTATTTGACAGCTCTAATAAAATTACATTTTGAACTTCTACACATTAGGAATAGGTATTATAGACTGCTGTATTTTCTTTTGCAATTTTTTTATAACAATGATTGCCAGAGATTGAAACGGTTATCTTTCAATCAATGTCAGGTCAAAGGTCAACTCTGGCTTCTGCTGATCATTGAATTTTTCAAAGTAGACTGGCACTGGGAGTGTTTGATCAGTTTTAACTGCCGTTCACCCTCAGATCACATGGACTTATTTTGAAAGCACGTGGAAATCTGTAAAATCTGCTTTTTCAAAGCTTCTTTATAAAGACAACACACACACACACATTCTCTTCTCCCTCTTCTCTGTTTTACCTCAGGCGTCACTGCTCGTCCACTATCTGTAGTCACTGTGCACTTTAAGGGCCGTTGGTTATGGAGCCTTCTGTCGTGGCTCCCTGTAGCATTAAAAATAAAAAACGTAGTGTAAATAACTTTTTTTTTCCATTAAGCCTCTGTCATGTCGTGACATCCGTGATAATGCAGCTCAGTTTTCCAGGTGATAGAGGGAAAAAAAGGGCTATAAATACCACACAGTGGAGTTCTTGCTCTCATACAGCACATCACGCTGCTTACTGTGGTGAGATGAAACGGTTATCTGTCTGAGATAACCCCGGCCTCAATCTTCACAACTCACTGGACTGACGGCAAAACACCCTCTCACAAAACTAATAATGCGTAGCTTCATGCAGAGCCCGACAGGAAGTGTTTCCTGCTCACAGGACAGACAACAGTCCTCTGTCTTTTACTGAGTGACTGGGTGTCGAACCACTGGACGCTTAAATCGGCATTTCTACGAGTTTGTTGTCTTTAATCAGGTGGTCGCTTCATTGGCATGGGATTAAGATTCCCAGCATGCCATGCAAATAGTTCTGAGTTCAATATCGACCAAATCTCAGCTTGGTTTTTCCCATGGAACGGTGTGAAAAATTCAAACCGCTTTGTTGGCTTCCACTGTGGATTAAAGGAGTAATAAACTAAAAACTTTGGTTTTAGAAGTCTGTACAATTAAACCATTTAAATTTATATATATTTTTATATATGTATATTTCTACATATACAGATACATTTATATGTATATTTCTACATATACAGATATATTTATTATCTTGCTGTATATGTAGTAATGGTATCTGTTAAAGAGGTACTTAGGGTAATAAAATAAGCAAGAAATATTATTATCTACACAACACCGATTATGAGATCCGTTTGCTCCTTGACCCCTTCGCTCCCTTCTGGTCCAGACCCCACCTTTATTTAATGTTTGTTCATGGTTTTAATGGGTCATTGGAATTCTTCCCAAACCTGCTCAGAAAACTGCCAACAGAGCTGTGTGATGCAGCCAAGTTCTGATTGGTTCACTGCCTTCTATTCACTCAACATCCTCCCAGTTCTCACTCCACTGCCAAGAATGTAAAGTCAAAGGCTACGGACAGAGTATGGATGAGTGCAACAAAGGAACGACGCCGGCCTCACTCCAACAAATCAACTGAATCACAGTCTGTGAAGGAGTTGGTGCTGGCAAAACGCCCTGATGTCATACTCTACACTTCACTCTCACCACCGCCGGCCTCAGCCATCGCTGTCACCTTCATGACAATTTTCATAGTGAAACTATTATGTTTTTTGGCAAGTATTTTATAAGAGTTGAGAATTCTCTGCTGACTGTGTTGATTCTCAAACTTTTATTACATGTTAAAAACCTAGAACAGCGAGGATAAACTGGTGGCCCGAGGGCCGCATCTGGCCCTCCAATCTAACCCAGCAATTAGATACCAAGATAAACATTGAATAATAATGTTAGACAAATATGTGAGTGTCCGGCCCCCGAAGTGTCTGTCCAAGTAACATTCTAGCCCTCCGACTAATATATCTGACGAATCAGGATCAGGATATATACACATATATACACACACACACACAGGGTATATAATCACAGTCTTCAGCTCCTCCCTCTTTTCCTCTTGTTTTTCCTCACCCCCCCCCCCCCAAACTGCACTCTCCCCTAACCCACTGAAGCGTGTTTCAAAATATGAAGTCTAGTGATTACCGAATCAGGATAAGATATTTTCTCTCCGTCTAGCGACTCGTCCTGACATGGTTGAGGAAGCACTCTTTTTTGGCTGTTTGTGAAAGTTAAAATTTGACACTTAACTTTTGAAAATAAAATGTTTTAAAATGACACATTATTATTAATAAAAAAAACACCAGTGAAAACACTGACCTATTCTTATTCTTATTCTTATTCGTACTTTTTCAAATCCAGAGTCAAATGCTAAACGTTTGGCTGTGTTGACTCCTGATTCAGATCTGGGTGTAATCCATCTTTACATCTGCTGCGTGACATTCAGGATGGTATGCGTGTGTTGAAGCTGAAGATGAACTAAGAGGATTAATCCAAGACAGACGTTAAATTACCGTCTCATTATCATGTACGGTTAGGAATGTTTTTAATCTTTGGTTTATGTATTCAGCCCAGGTCAGTACTGCTGTTCAACATGAACATGTAGAACCGTTCCTGGCTTTGGTTGGAGAGTCCAGGCTGTGAAACAGAACTCGCAGAAGTGAGAATATTTTGTTTGAAATGCAGAATTAGACTGGGAGACAAATCAAGTCTAGTTAGTGGTGACTGGTTAAATAAATAATTCAAAGTTTCCTGCACAACTAAGTAATAAACTGTAGCTGTGGAGACTGTTTTTGGTCAACTGGATATAAAAATGGATTGACCGGCCTTAAGGCAGCCTCAGTTTTACCCAGGATTGTTAGGTCTGTGCTGCTTGACAGGGATCGACCTCAGGGGAGTCCAGACTAGACAGAAACGTTGTGAAACACACATACACACACACACTTTCGAAACCCACTAGTTTTTGGTGTTTTGTGAACACTCCACAAAAGTTTGAAGTCGTAGCTGTGAACATGTCAATGTGAACGACAGTCCTGTCTACGGAAAAAGGAGAACAGAAAATCTTTTAGCTCTGAATTCACTCGAATTGAACTCTGCCGATTCAAAACATTCCAATGTCCAATGGGAAACGTCCACACAAGGACAAAATGTCCTCACAACAATCATCATTTTACCACTGTCCTCTCACATACAGCAGTAACAAAGACACAAACTGTTGTCTGTGGTCAGTTTGATGCAGACTTTTTTCTTTGCTTCTGTTTAAATTTCCTTCTCCTCCATCCTCTTCACACACACACACACAGGTGAGTGACATGACTTGGAGTTAGGGCTGCTGTCAGACTCCAATCAGAAGCAGCTGCACTCTCATCTCTCACGGTGGCCTTTTCACTATCTGTTCTATCAGCTCCTTCCTCCTCTTACTCCCCTCTCAGGACTCCTTCTGTCCTTGTCCATGTATTTGATGCTCCACAGAGGCTGTTGATCTCAGCCAGGGATAAAACATTACTGTGTTTTTAAGATAAGGCCGGCTCGCTGCTCTGTGTCAAGTAAAATGTTGCCAATGGGAATGTACTTGACAAGTCTTTAAAAAATATATATATATATTCCCTGTTCAATTGAATTTCTTATTCATTTCTTCAAATTCTTTTTTTTTTTTTTTGGCAGTGAATCTGGGCCTCAGATGGCTTTACTCTGCTTTGTCCAGGGTCACATCTGCTTACCAGTTGACCTTTACCCATTAATGACCAATTTGGCCACAGTGTTTTGTGACCCAACCCCACATGGGACCCCCTTTTTAGTCCACTTTGCCCCCCCCCTCTGCCCCCCCCCCCCGAGCGCTCCACCGGAAGGCACGCAACGGTGTGGATATCACATCATTGCACTTTGTCTGATATCTGAGTGTGTGAGGCAGTGAAGGAGTTCACACACACACATGTAGAGATTGGAGTAAATGCTTAAGAGTATAATGCAGCCTGGAAATGGACTTACAAAGCCTGCTGGGAAAGACGATTCATACTCCCTTTGATGTCCTAGTCGTTGGAGGAAATAATCCATTTACAATGGTTCTTATGAGTAAATTTCTCTCTCTCTCTCTCTCTCTCCCTCCCTCTCTCTCTCTGTGTTCATGTTAGTGGAGTTTGAGTTACTGGACTTGGCCTCGTTGCAGTCCGTCCATCAATTTGTTCAGAGCTTCAAACATCGCGGTCTACCGCTGCACATCCTAATCAATAATGGTGAGTAACGGCACGTTTTTATCTTTGGGTGACAGTCAGTATTGACCAGGTTCCAGCAGCTGCTAAACAGCAGAGTGACTTCAATGTCCCGGGTTCAAAACTGAAGGATCTCTGCTGCTCAAACAGATCAGGAAGATTTATGAAATCATACAGAAGAAGTCTATTCGCATGAGCTTTACGAGTTGTTTTTTTTTAACCAATCACATTTCAGCCTCATGTGAGCTTGATCTTTAACCAATCAGAGTTTGAGTCGAGCTGCCTTCCAGCAGTAGTACAGTTACAGTTTCCATTTAAATGATATGGTTACACTGTGTCTGAGATCCTTGTACGTGTGTGTGTGAAGCGGGCATCATGTTGGTTCCCGAGGGCCGTACCCAAAGTGGGTTTGAGCTGCACTTTGGAGTGAACTACTTAGGTCACTTCCTGTTGACGTGGCTGCTCCTGGACACACTGAAGGATTCGGGACGGACCGGTCACTGCTCTCGCGTGGTCACCGTCTCCTCCTCTGCACACAGTATCGGCAAGATCGTCCTAAATGATTTGAACAGCAGGTGGGTTCGAGAGCACAAACATATCGTACCGTGATAAGCGGCCAATACACGCCCCATTTCGGGATAAAAGAAAGAATAATCAATCCTTTTTTTTTGTTTCCGATCTCTTTGCAGCCAGTTTTATTCGGCCCATGCTGCCTACTGTCAGAGCAAACTGGCCCAGCTTGTATTTAGTGCCCAGCTCCAGCAGGAGCTGCAGCGCGGAGGTTTCCCAGTGACGTCCTGCGCCGTGGACCCTGGCGTGGTGAACACCGCTCTGTACCAGCACCTCTGGACGCCACTGCGCCTGGTGCACGGCACGCTGGCTCCCTGGTTTTTGAGGGTAACTCTGCTTTTATTATTCTCACCAAAAAAAAAAAATAAGAAGTGTCATTTTTCCTCTGATAAATGTCATTAGCTCTGCAGATAAAAATGACGTGCTTTCCTGTCAGAACCGATTTGCATCGTGTGTTTTGAATGTTAAAAAAAACACCCGCGATTTAACCGTGGACCTGAAAATAGGAGCGTTACTCTAGCTGCAGGCACAACCATCACTCTGTTATATTTTAAAAGGTGTTACACAGCTTGAAGCAGTGGCTCCGAGCTTCTATTAATGTCTGTGGGATCGTAATGACAAGAGACGTGTGAATCCCAAACTGTTGTCACAGGGATTCGCCTGTGAGTGGAACCCTTATTTTTCGCCTGACAGGCCGGACAGATTTAGCCACCTAGCCTCCTGCTGCTCTACACCTCTGTACAGGCCGCGGCATCGTCGCTACTCTTTTTAAAAAAATCCAGGGCACAAACGTTCTTGAGATGATGGCGACCTTCTACAGCGGTTTTCGAGCGACTGGGAGCAGCTGCCCACTTGGCATGGGGTAAATTCTTTACCCTGTAGCATGACCATGGCACAGCTGCCGCGGTCGTGCTACTGGAGAGGTGGAATCTCCAGTTACAGAGTGTGGAGTTGAGGGCACTGTGTTCTAATGATGATGGTTTGATGGAAAACTTCCTGATTACTAATACCACCAAAAAAAACAGATTACTACACAAACAAACAAACAAACAACGTCTTTGTACATGCAAAAAAAACCCACTCTGTGTGTTTCCACAGACCCCTGCAGAGGGCGCTGCCACCGTCCTGTACACTGCCCTATCACCAGCCCTGGAAGGGGAACTTGGAGGAGGCTACTGGGCCGATGGGTGCAAGGAGATGACATCTCCGCCGACCTTTGACCCTGAGCTGCAGCTGAGCCTGTGGGAGAGCAGCCTCCAGTTACTGGGCCTGCGTTGGCATCAGATGAAAGAATAACCAACAGGACTCTATCCTGAGGAAAAGCTCAGATTACTGAACCCTGAAATGGGTCAAACCAGCTCTCCTCCTCTTCCTCCTTCTCCCTTTCCCATTTTTTGTTTTTCAATGTTTATCTCCACTGTGCCAGACCCGCCATAAAAGGGCTACAGGGGATGTGAGACGTGTTTTTTGTTTTCACTGTGAGCACGCTAACGTACGCACACAAACACAAACTCTGGAAAGACAGGAAATTTTGTAGCCAGATATCGGTCATGTCCTGACACGTTTCTGTTTGTAGCTTTACAGAGATATGATTCTATTATTCTGGCAGTCAGCACAAAATTCCAATAGTTTGCTAAAACAAAAAGGCAGTAGAATTATGGGGTTTTTTTTTCATAGTAATGTTAAAAGTAAAGGCCGGTGTTTTCTTGCAATGGGAGAAATTGAACTAGCTTTGTTAAAAATGTTTAAAAAAAAAACGCACGTCAATCGAAGGACAGTGTGCGCACACGTCAATGCACTACGACAAAAACCACACTGTAAATTTTACACTTGTCACGTTGATGTCATGACACATCACAGTAATTTATATCACTGTCTCTCCGTTCGACCTTGCTCTTTAAATTCATCCTTGTGGTTTTAATGGCCACTAACTTCTGAGATGAATCATCGCGGTCAGCGTTGGACTTCAGTCATTTCTGTAGTTTCAGTGGAGGAAAAAGCTCCAACAACATCAGCTCTGCTGTATTTAAAAATAAACAAAAACATTCCTTTGTAGTAAATCCTGACACTGGAAACACACGGAAAAGACGCAGCGAAAACTTTTTTTTGCTTCATTTAAATTGTCGGTGTTAAGGAGTTCTTTTACGTTTCTTTTGTTCCCCGTGAAAACAAAAAGCCAACAATGAAGACGCGGTCGCCTCTTTAATCCAAATCTGTCCCTGTTTTCCCTTGTCATCTGGATTAATCGGTGTACTGTGACTGTCATGGATGTGTGTGTGTGTGTGTGCTTCGTACAGCAGTACGGCATTGCCTGGCGTTAAAGAGCCAATTGGTGTTGATAGTTTGTACAAACAATGGTCCAGTCCAGATGGACCGGCATCAGAGAGAGACAAACAGAACACACTCGTTTCATCATTCAAGCTGTGATTGGTTCCTAATTGCTAGTGCAGCTTCCTCATTTGGCATTACTCCCATTGCATTATGGGATTGTGATTTCCCAGTGGTGAGAATCAAACTCCATCTGCTCAGCTGACAAACACACACACACACACACTGGCTGTGAAAACCTGGAGGTGGTGCAGTACACCCAGGCAGAGGCTTTTCTCATCAGGCACATGGAGAACAAACACGTCTGCCTGTCATGTCGCTAACGCTCCACGCAGCCATGAAAACCATCGCCCACTGTGATTTGTCATTTTAGTCGTGAAGGCGGAAACTCCCATATCAAGTTAAACAGGTTTCCTCCTAAATCGCTTCGTTCACAATCCGAGTGCTGTATCAGGTCAGCGTGCGCGCCGTCACTTCACCGCGCTGGGCGTCCAGTGTTCGTTACGAACCGCCATATGTGAAGCAATAGTGGGACTGTGATACTGTAGCAGCTGGAGTCAGATGTTGGAACAAGAGGGAAAAATAGACTAAAAAATATAACAGTGACTAGAGAAAACAAAAAAACAATATATTTTTGAATATATTTTAGCTTGATAGGGGGTGCTAGAGTGCCAACTTGCCAGTCACGGAGAAGGTTCCGGGTACGATTCCACCTGGTTGACATGAATAACAGTTCCGATCAAATTAAAAATATTTTTTTGAGAAACTAAATGACATTTAGATGATTAAACTAGATTTTATTTGTCATCATTTTATATCTGTAGCAGCAGCAGCAGCAGCGTAGGAACGGACTCTTCCTGCCAGCAATTCTTGTGTTTTTTTCTGGTTTCTCCTCAGAGCTGTCCAGCTGCTCTGTACTGTCTCTGTGCTTCCTCGTTTGACCGTGGTTCCTGCTCTAAAGTGCATCGACGAAACAACAAACAAACGGCCTCGTGTCTTTTCACCGTGATGAAAACACCAGCTCACCCACTCAGCAGCGCCCATTACCAAAAGTACCGAGCCTCGGTGTGAATAACGTCCGTAATGTTTTTTCCTGCTACGGTGAATATTTTACTTTACCGACGCCCGAGAGTGGAAACGTCTGAGCACAAGACTCGGGCTGAGGAGGACAAGCGTGACGGCCTGTCTGGGTCGTTCTTTTTCGGGTCGCCGTGCAGCGGGATCTGCTGAATTAAGTCAGCCATTACCTTGTTATATATTTAACTCTGTCCTGCAGCAGTCGGCACAGACAGCAGAGGACGGCACAGTGAACTTTTCTCAGCTTCTCAGCTCAAGTGTCGTTCAGTGATATCTGGGACCGCAAGAAAAGGAAGAAAACAGTTGCAGCTCAAGTGTCGTTCAGTGATATCTGTCTGTGGTATTTGACGTGTGCATTATCTAGAAGCGTTGTCCTCACTGGATGTGGACCAGTGGAGATGTACTGTACTGTACTGTACTGTACTGCATGTAGACCAGAGATGCTCTCCCCAGCCAGCGTTTGTATGTGGGACACGTCGGGGAACTTTACTCCAAAAAATTGTGTTCCACTTTGTCGGTGAGTGTAGGGCAAACAACATGGATGATACGTTGAAAGTAAAAGTTGAGATCAGAGCCAAGTTAAATTCACAATTATATAAAGGTAGATTTGACTTCATTAACTCAATGTTCTCAAGACACCTGACTGTTCATAATCCTTTGATTCAGTCGTTTTGTTTATGAGTAAAAACGTTAGGCACCACAGGTGGCGCCATTACCAAAATGAAGCCAACTTCCGCAGAGATAGCTGACAAGTTTAGCACTTAAACCAAATGAGGTGTTAAACTAATGAGCTATAATAAACATAGCGCCCCCACCTGGATTGAGACACTTCAGGTCAGGGGTCACCAACTACAGTTGATGACCTCTGCTTTAGGATGTTTATTATTTACATTAGTCCAGCCACCAGTAGAGGGCTCCAGAGACTTGAAATTTGTGACATTTGAAATAAATGCACATAAACAAATCCAAGCACTTCACTAATTATATTATTAATTTTTCATCACAACTCAGTTCAGCTCACATTGGGAAACAGACTGGTGACTGTGTTCGTCCTTCATTTGCTGTATGAGCACAAACAGGAAACCAACATGGAGAGGATGAGCCCAAAAGTTCTGGAGCAACATTTAGTTCTAGGCCAGATCTTAAGGAACAGTGATAAATCCAAGGGTTTGTTGAAAAAAATACTTCAAAAAACGTATTTTCACAGATCAACTAGTGACCAAATATGGTGCCCCCTCTCCCCCCCCCACATGGATTTGCTGGCTGGGCCTTATAGCCATTCCTCTAACTGAGCTGGGATCACATTTATATTAAATGTTCTGGTCCCAGCTTCTGTATGTGTGTGTGTATAGGAAGAGCCGGTATAGAGACGCACCAGATGAACTGAGTCACTCACTCTGGTTGGAGCAGCTGGAGCAGTGAAGAGGAAACACACGCAAACATGCTTCTGTACTCTCACCTCCCTAATGCACGCTCCTCCATACCGTCCTCTCCCGTGGAGTGAGCGCGACCTTTCACACGAGTCCCCGCGCGCTGCAAATTGAAGACGTTCCCACCTCGGCTCCATTGTGAAACCTTCGGTGCATCTGGGCTCCCCGAGGAGCAAGGAAACGTGATAAAAAAAAAAAAAAAAGTTTTATTTTTTATTGTTATTTGGTTGTTGTAGAGACATACGTTCAGTTGCCTCGTACAAACTGTGATAACGTCTCGTCCTGTGCAATGATGTGAGTGTTTTCTTCTCTTTGGAGTGAGGGTAATGGAGACGGGGAGTGTGTGTGTGTGTGTGTGTGTGAGAGAGAGAGAGAGTGTGTAGATTAGGCCGTTCATGTCCCATGTTCCTGTGGATGGTTGTGACGTTCCAGCAGCAGCCTCTACCTTTTCTATTATCCAAAGCCTCTCAATAAACATATCATTGTGCCAACACCCGTGTCACCGCCTGTCACTGAGCCACTGTCAGTCTGATAACACTCAGCCTGAGACGGACCCCGCAAACCCCCTCCTCACCCCCCCCCCCTCCCCCCCCCCCGAGCCCAGGGGGAACTTTGAGAGAGAGAGTCTCAGATGTGTGAGTGAAACACACACTCGTACACACACAAAAACACATTATGTCTCGAACCGAGTGTCAGCCCTGAGGTCAGCGCTCACGACATCAAAGGAGACAGTGTCGTAGCTTAGAGCGAGGGTTCACAGACACACGGTGCTTACGTATAGGTTAGGACTAATTTCACTCGGGGTGTGTGTTGGCAAGAATGTGGCGAGACGATAGGTGTCGCGATACAGGGCCGACAATACGATATACTACGATATATTGCAACCAAATAGGCGTAACGATATATTGAGTTTGGGTTTACTAGGAAATAAAAGGAAAATAAATGAACAAACAATATGAATATTTGCACGATACAGTGCTGTGGAAAATCCATACAGGATCGTGAAACGACAACATCGAGATATATCGGCGCATCAATATTTTTTAAATATTTCATATACATTCTATATTTAAAAAAGATTAATAAAATAAATTTAAATTTTACTTCCATTTTATTGTATATACATTTATTTTATTTATTTATTTTTTCATATAAAACATTTATATTTAATGCTGTTACACTAAAATAAAGTAAAATAACATTTGATGTCAATCTTTCCCGTCTTTCAGGTCACTAACTGTCGTTTGAAGGACTTTTCCTCCCTCAGACTGATCACTGGGCTAAATGGGACAAAATCGAAGAATGAAATCATCAGTCACATTAATCAGTGTGACATGATTGGACTAATTAAATCAGAAATAAAATGATGATCTCTGCAGGGAGTTTGTTTTCCATAGCCACTCAGTGAGGAGGTGGGCATAAATTAAATACTCGAAGAACTCATTTGTGACCAAAAAAGTAGGCTGTGGGTCATTAGTGAAGGGGGGGGGAGGGGGTCTGAATGTAAGACTATTATCTCAGATGGCCACATCACCCTCACATTCACTTCTATGGTGACATTAATGTCAATTTAATCCAGTGCATATCATTCAAAATCAAAACAAATATTAAATTATTTTTTCTCCCTGTGCCCTCCTGCTATAACTTCACGCCACCTTTGGGGGGCCCCGCCCTTCGATTTGGACACCACTGATTTAACCTTGGTAGTGCTGCAATTCCAGAAAACCAGGTATCTCACACTAACGTCCACTCAGAGTTCTGGGTCGAAGCTCAAGGCGTTTCAGGCAAAAAAAAAAAATCTAAACATGAACAAAAACCCCCGATAAGGTAATATTTGGACTGTTTCTGAGGAGCTGCTTTGAAGTCCAGCCACCCTGTCCTTTCATGTGTATAAATAACACAGGAGGGAAATCGGCAGATGAGATAAGACGCGCTCTACAGCGCCTCCTTTCTTTCCGTCCTCGCCCATAAGCAGCTACTGTATAATGTGTTCTCCGAGCCGACTCGTCTGTACACCCTCTCCACTGTTACACCGCGTGGAAGAATTAAACAAATGACACGGTGTTTATTCAAATGTGGTGAAGGGATATTTATTTATTTAAAAAAAAAAAGTATTTAATTAAAGAATCCTGGTCTGAGCCGGTGCTTCAGGCCAGGACACAGCTGTTCATCTGGATGGAACTGTGAAGGAGGACGTCTACCTGGAGAAACCATCGACCATAGAACCATGTTGTCCTGAATTCTCTTTCCCACACGAACCCCCTTTGACCTCTTGACCCCGGTGAATACAACACCTGATCAGTGGGTGAGGGCGTGGTCACCTCATTTGTTTTACTGTATCGCCTGTCTGTTCAGGTGTTCAGCCATTATCAGCCAAAATACCAGGATTTTTTCAGCAGTCACTAAGAACTAGGTACTAGGTAAGAACGAGGTAAAAGTGACGTCCACCTGGCAGGTCGCGCCCCTTATCTTTAACAGTCAGAACACGCTAAGAACTGAGGTAAAAGTGATGCCCACCTGGCAGGTCACGCCCCTTATCTTTAACAGTCAGAACACAAATAAGAAAAAGCTCAGTTTGGACGATTCAATGCACAACTTTTAGCATTCCTGTCCTGTCGATGTTAAACTTTATTACCTCCCCCTTCCTCACACACACTCCATTAAGTTTTCACTCACAAGTGCTTAATAGAGGCTGGGAAATGAAGCAACCCACCCGTGAGATTTGGTTGAGGACAAACCATAAGTCCTTAAAACAAAACAAAACAAAGAAAAAGAAAAAAAAAATCCCCGTCGACTAAATATACAACGTAAACCCGAGACAGTGCAACGACCGAACGTGAAACGTCTTCGTCTGCACGTCTGACAATGGAGTGCAGAGAAAAAAGTGTCATGTTGTCTGAAAAGAAAAGTGCCTTTGAGGCAACGGATGAGTCAACGTGACGGATCAACACCGCAGCAACAACAGCCGAGCATCAGGAGAAGAAAAGAGGAAAAAAAACAAAGTGCAGAACAACTGATGGGGGGGTGAGGGGGGGGGGCATCTGAATGTCAGAGAGGGTGTGTGTGCCGCGTCGTGTTATAATAAGTGTGTGAGACAAAGAGGAAAGTGAGGAGGTGTCTCTTCAGCTCTTCTTTGTCACCAAAGGACACACACACACACACACACACACACACACACACACCGCGGCGTCAGAGCCACTGTCGTCTGAGCTCAAGTCGACGACGGAGCGGTCGGCCTCGTCTCCTCTGTGACTCTAAGTGATTTGAACAAACCTGCAGGAAATTTAAAAAAAAAAATAAAAAAAATTTAGATCCATAAATCATTAGAATCACAATTAGCAGGTCCTCGTTCAGCCACTAAGTGGCAGCTTTCCCAGAATAACTCTTTTGGGGAGAGGGGACGTGGGGGTGAGGGTTAATGAACTCATTCCTCTCTCACTCCAAAACAAGAAGGTGGCTAATATGCATTCAGTTATTTAATTACTCCTCCATGACTTAGACACAGTACACAACTACAGTACACAACTACAGTACACAGCTACAGTACACAGGTACAGTACACAACTACAGTACATGGATACAGTACACAGGTACAGTACACAGCTAGTCATTTTTTTCCACATGTACAATATTTAATTTCAATAAAATGAGCTTTTTTTCCATGGAACACGGTGTAATGATTTCCCCTAGTGGTAGTGTAGGGGAATTACTAAAAACACATTCTCACCAAAAACAGAAATAATACAAAAAACCCCCACTATTTCCATAAAATATGTATCATATTGATCTGCTAAACCGACCGCCCACTGCAAAAAATGGAATATGTATAGTTCTAATTTAA